CAAAAAAATATAAGTATAGTAGCCGAAGTCTAAAAGTAGCACCACTTTATGCCCAAATGAGTGAGCATGCATTAAGATAACTCGGACATGTTTTACATCAATACATTAATCATCTAATGAGACGAATGACTGATTTGCATGTTCCTTGGGGAGTAGAAGAAGAAGGTCAAACAAGATCTGAAGGTGACGCTTAAACAGGACATGTCGGTAAAGGAAACTTATATTGGTATGACCCTAGATAAAAACTATCTTCTTTTTTGTGTGCCTGATTTTAAGAGTTGGCTATCGTCATGATAACAAGTAGCTAGAATGCGTCTCGGTAAATATTTCAAAGAAACTATTCCCCGATCATTTGACCCATCCATATACCAGAGTTTTTTTTTATTTTGCGCTGAACAATCAACCGAAATAAGTGATATTTATGTGATATGACACATAAGATAAAGAAACTTAAAGAGAAATGTAATTAGACAAATAATATTAGGGAACCGACTCGATATACTAATAGAGGTATAGTTAATGATGATAGGAATATTACTTAATATTCTTCAAATTTTTGTTATAAAATAAGGTTATACTATAATAAAAATAATATATTAAGCAACGAGTATTTTATTATGGTCATTATAATAAGTATAAAGGCCCGTTTTCACGCTACGTCTTATTGTACGTTTTGTTGAACGTACGACAAAACGTACGTTTTGTCCTGTGTATACACACTACGTTTTTCCTTCCGACAAGACGTACGTTTTGCTGTTTACCACGCCACGTTTTATTGTATAGGATTTGTCCTATCCAACAAAACGTAAAATAGCAACAACAACAAAAGACGTAGCGTGAAAACGGGCCTTGAGGAATCTGATATAAGCCGCATAGTGGCAAATATATAAAATACGATTATTATAATGGGAAATAAAGGCGAGGTGTATGCATAATTTTTTCTACGATTATTTACAACAAAAAAATATATGTTGATAGATCTATATTTTTTTAGACATTTAGTCGAAATAGTCAAAATTTTTGGAAAAACTGGTTACCTTATTGTCAATTGTCAATTCTCCTCTCCAAGAATTGCAAAAACACCTTTCCGTCAATTTTTTGCGATTTTTTGACACTAATTTCTCTAGCGTTTATTTTTGGTCGTGTATTTATTTCAAGTGGTGTTAAATTTGCAATTATTTAACCGTCTTTAGACGTTTCCTTACAAAGGACTTATTTACGTATTCTGAACTGTCCAAACATAAGCATTTGACTTGACATTGCTCATTGCTTATGTGCCACTTTCGATACAGATGTCACCTCACGATTCTATTGGTTAAAAACTGTGTCATAATGAAAATCTGTACATAGCCCATTATAATACAAATATTGTTGTTGTTGTTTGTTTGTGTTTAAATGACTGCGGACACTAAATCCATTCGCCAATCTTACAATTTGAGGTGTAGTGTGTGTGTGTGTGTAGAGTAATTGTCTTGATACTTAGCAAAGTCGACGTCATTGTCAAGAGACGCTAATTGTATCCGAACGTCTGCGGCCCCTCCGGTGTGTACCGATCACACAAGGATAGAAATTATTTTCATTTATTAATTTTTTTTTAATAAACGAAAATTTCCACCCAGGTGGGATTCGAACTCACGACCTTTAGATTTAAAGCAGGCGCTCTTACCACTGAGCCACAGATGGGTTAAACAAATATTAAAATAATAATTAATATATTAATGTATGAAACTCGAAAAAAATATATTTTAAAATATTTAGTATTAAGTAGGAATACTTAACAAAAAAGTTGTGTCTGTTAAGTTTTATATTGGGTGTATCGATTTATTTCACTTTCCCTAAATAATAAGATACATAAAAAAAATAATGCTAAAAAAATGCTAATAATTCGATTAATTGACCTAATGAGCCATTCTTGAGATTTTTCTAAATATACTCCACAATAGAATTACTTAGTCTATAATACTAGGAACATCTTGAATATACCCAATTTGGTTTTAGAAATGGTATGGGAGACCAGGGAGAACTTTTTGCGTTAAATATAGTTTAAAAAAAAGTCATAATCAAAGAAAGTATGTACTTGCATGCTTCGTAAACTTCGGAAAGGCATTGGATAATGTACAGCATTTGATAAAGTACAGCATGTAAGATTAATGCAGATGCTAAAAAATATAGTAATAGATGACAAAGACATTTGTGTCAATAAATTTCTGTACTGAAATCAAACTGCTATGTTTAAAATTGGAGACAAATATACCAAAGAAATCTCAATACAATGAGGAGTCAGACAAGGCTGTATTTTGTCTATAACATTGTTCAATGTTTACCTCGGACCGTTTGTTTAAAAAGGCACTTCAGACACAGCCATATAAAATGGAAATCGATGAGGAACTACTTAATGTAATTAGATACGCGAACGATACAGTAAATTTCGTTAAAAAAGTTGAAGTTCTCCAATTGCTGCTTCATTGTATTCACGAAGTAGGAGAGGAAATGGTCATTTAAATAAACTCAGAAAAAAATCTTCCATCGACATTTCTTTATAATAATCATATTAGTTTGGAACTAAGACAATGAATGGTTAAGGGTTATATTTGGTCTATACTTTTATATGAATCAAACGTGAGACACTAAAAGTATCAAGTATGAACAGAATTGAATCATTGGAAATAAGGATTTAAAGACCGATGTTGAAGATACCTTGGACATTTCAAAAACATTTTCAAAAAATCAACTGATAAGAGGGGAACCAATCCTATTAAGGTAAATAAAAAAGATGTCTTAAAGGGCATTTCCATCTTTAGATTACATTTTATTCACTAATTTTTACAATTTATCAAACATAAGGAAACACTCTTCTGGAAACACTTTTAAAAATAGTAACCATGGTATTCACTGATTCAACTTTTTTTTTAATGTTATTTTGTATCAAAAAGACTTTTTTTCAAATATTTTAAGCTACAGAAATCTGAATAGTCATTAAAAATTATTTGATTTTAATAAAATTTTGTCCAATACAGTGTTAGCCTTTTTTTTATTTCGGTCACAGTGGGTGCTATGTCTTATCACTTATCATCAACGTAGTTATCTGGACTGGTGCAGAGAACAATTAATTTGTGACCTGCAATGGAATGGGTTTGCCTTAAATGACGAATTTAGATTCTGTTTAAGAATACATAATGACCAAGTCGAGTCCAGAAATCGACGTGGTGGAAGACGAAATTATCAGTATTGTGAGAACAACATGCGAAAAACACGTTGGCGTTATCATGTGGGGTGTCATCGCATCAAAGTCCCCTTTAATCTTTGTCAGAGAGATCTTGAAAGCTGAGCAAAACGTAGAAAAAAATTCCCGCTTATACCCTATCTTTAGTCGCTCTAACATTCAATTTTTCAGCAGGCTAACACAGGTAACACATTGCGATAGTCACCATAAACTTATTTGAACAGGCTAGAGTCAATATTTTGCATTGTCCCCGAGATCCAAAGATTTATTCACAATTGTTATACACGTGTGGGATATGATGGTTGGGAGACTTCTTAATTTAGAGCATCTTTGGGAGTTCGGGGAAGTTAATTAGAACATGGAACTAAATACCCCAGTAGGATATTGATCACCTCATTAGAACCAGGTTCATCTAAGAGTATGTTGCTAATCAAGGTGCGTAAACAATATTAATTGATTTACTCCTGTAAGTTGTTTCAATCATCGTAAAATTTTGATCGTTTGTTTATTTTTGTTACCCTGTATAAATGTCCAAAAAGCTTTTCAACATATAATAATTTATAATGGGTGTTCGAATTTAGGTATACTTAATGGGTGATTAACAAATTTTTAACAACAAATTTTTAATTATTAGAAAAAATATCATATAAGTAAGTTGTATAAGATCTTTCACAAAAAACGAAAAAAACTAAAGTATTCAAAAATGTCAACATATACTATGTCGAGACTAAAATACTTAATATGTATATAAACCGAGTCCATATTTCGCAAGTTAAATATAAAATTTTATTAAACTTATAAAATCTAAATATTAGCTTTTCCTTATTTATTTTATATGTTCCTCCTTCCGAATCAAAATAATTTATATTTCCAAAAGTTTAGCAGATTTTTTATGCAAACAATTTGGTACTAAATTTGCCAGTTTGCCAACGAATTATGGAGGTCAAGGTCATCGTGTTGGGGGTTCACATTCGCCTGTATAAAATATTAAAAATATTCCTTTGAAGACTTTTAATATCAACAAAAAGTAGTAACAAATAGTCCCCATAGTTTATATTTAAGAACTTTTTCTTCTGTTTTATTGTAGAGTTAAAACAAAGATAGGTGTAGTCACAACGGACGAGTAAAAAATGAAAAGTTGGTGTTAGTATTACTTAGTGGTCTGCGCAACTAAAGAATTCTCTATTACGTGGTGGTCAAAGATAATATTATTTAACCCCTTAGACCGCTAAATATGTGATGGTTAGCGTTATACCAGTTTAAAAAACGTTTTAATTAGTCATGAGTATCCTCCTGGTTTGTTTTTATTAATCTACAATAGATAATGGTTTTCAAATAAAGAAATGTAATCCATTTAGTCACTTGGAACTAAAAAATATTATAGACAATTATGGTAAACTCATTTTATGGTCAATATGGTCAAGCCATTTGACATCATCAACGCATAACAGAGCAATAGTCTGAGACTAAAAGTTATCGCCAAAATATACACAAATAAAAATACCAAGGCCAAATGCATAAACCGAATATGCAAAACATGTTAATATTTTTTTTCAATATACTTTTTTTCTGATTCGTATTTATTTGTTTAATGATATTTTATTTTAAAATATATTCTTTAATTCAAATCGCAAAAAATAAAACTCTTATGAGATTTCTGTATCAAATTGTTATTATAGGTATACTTAGTTTAAGTCATATTAATTAGTCAAAATTAGGGGAACAGAAGATGCTAAAAAGCTGCTTTGAGACACAGAAACAAAAAATTCAAACTCACCAACAGGCGTGCTGAAATAGCCCCACATCGGTATTCCAACTGCAGTAGCGCCAACTACAAAGCAGATAAATCCTAATACAGCAACACATGTCGAATACAGGGGCTTTATTTCCGCCATATCACATAAACAACATGATTTTCTATAACTAAATCACAAATCACAACAAACAAAAACAAACAACAACACAACTGCAGCGCATGACCCTACTGACACATGTCACAAATCAATAAAACTTTTGTTTACTAAAAAGACACGTTCTTAACGAAGAAAACGGTTTTCAGGAATATTATTACATCTTCCTGTTAATCCTGCTGACCGAATTTGTAAACGTCGACGGTATGGCGGTTGGATACACTTTTTAATACAAAACAGGTTTCGTGGACACGTAGCAATGTTTATAACGATGATTTAAAATCCAAACTAAACTCATACCAAAGTTGAAACTAACCTTGCTGAGGTGTGCCGCAAGTTGGCTGTATAATGGGAAGGGGCTCACAGTGGCGTAACTAGCTATGTCGTCGGTTTTTTGTGCCGGTGATTTACGTTCATTTTTACTGTAACGTTTGGATTTACCGTAAGGCCTGTTATTACGCTGGGTATAGAATGACATTAAATGATCCGTAAAACTACTAATGTATAAGGATATACTGTACTATTAAGCAAGCTAGTTTGATGATTAATTTCTTTAAATAAATTTATTTTAATTGCGATAGTTTGTACATCTTAGGGCCGATTGTTCGAAACGCTAATCAATACTATTTTGCGTTTTTAATTTAAATAAACCATAATTAAACTCTTTCTGATGTTAATTTCATGTTTTTATTTATAAATAAAATAATAATATTAAGCAATTTTTAATAATTTTGACAGCTCTTGTGACGTATTTGATTGTAATTAAATATTTGATTAAAATTAAGTTTTGATTAGCCTTCGTCGTCAGTTGCGTAACTGAGATGTTTAAGTAAAAAATAAAAATATAATCAAAATTATTATTAATCTTTTGCTGTTAGTTCACTAGAAATTACTAATTTCGTCGATAGTCGCATAACTGAGATATTTAGGTATAAAATAAAAATATATCAAAATTATTACTAATCTTTTGTTATGGAGAAAGCACTTTAAGATAAAGATACAATTTTATAGTACTTGATTCTAGGCTATTTAGGTAGTTACATGATAAAATGAATGTGTAATTGTATTCTATAATTCTATCTTAATCTGTCAGGCCAAGTCGGGCCTTGGCCTCCTAGACCTTTGTAAGCTTCTCCAACGATCGCGATCTACTGCTATTCTTTCCATGGACGTGTTTTAGGAGGATTTTGGCATCCTCATTTAGATATTACTTTCTGGTATTTAAACAGGAAGTCAGTTTTAAAAACGTCTAATGTATTAGCAGATTTCTGTGTTATGACCCGTGCGATCCTGAATATTGTTTTGCAGACTCTGGTTTTTGTTTTCCGGTGTATACCTCGGATACCTCGGTACCTAAATACCTTTTATTTGCTAGCATAAGCCTTCTTCTTATTTCAGGTTCTTCTTCAGTGTTTGTGACCAAGTCAATTTTTATACATAAATCTTTTATCTACATAATTGTTTTGGTGCACTTGTCTATTTGATCTCGTTTGTATGAGTATTTTTTTTTCCTATTTGTAATTATTGCTACAACTTCTACTTTAGATTTAACGAAAGTTTCTTTCACCACAACTTTTAATCTAGATTTGTTTGTAAGTATGCTATTTCTTTTCAACGTAAACCGTATAATTGCATATTCAAAAACAATACTTAATATTATTGGAGCTGGTCCGTATTATAATCCTTGCGTTGTTTTAAAAAACGCATTCGTCATCTGGTCTTGTATACATATATGTGTTTCTGTTCATTTCATGCTACAAATAATAACCGGTATGATACTTCCGAGAGCGAAATTAGGACGATTTTGCGCATTACGTCACAATGAGAGTGATTTTAAATAATCCCCTTAAGAACGTTAGCAATCGAACACAATTATTTTTAATTGGCAATAAAAAGTCATTTTAATGGATTAATAGAGTTTCTATGAACTATTTCGGATTTTTGAACTATTGAAATATAAGTCTTTTATTATTTTGTTCAAAAAAAGAATAATACTGTCAAAAGAAAAAAAATAAATCTGTAAAATAAATTTGTGAGTTTTTATGCTTTTCCGCTTTTTAATCCTAGAAAGGTAATCTTTGTAAATTTTACGAGCTAGCTTCTGATTGTATTGTCTTATTTGGCAGCAGTTTCGAGGAGGAAAAAAGCCTTCGTCTAAACGTAAACGGAAGAAAATAATTGATCATTAATTTCCTGGATGCTTACAGGATGTCAGTAGTCCTTTCATTAGTGTTACCTGAACATAGTTGGCAGGTTTTAAAAGGTAGTCATTTGCTTTGTCATATGCATAAGGTTTTCGAATCTTCATTTTATCGAAGAAAACAATATATATATTTTTTTAGATTCGGATAACTAAAAATTTTTTTTAAAATTTTTTAGAACAGGTTTTATTATGCCTGGAACAATTTTGACTTTCTTGGTCCATGAGCAAAGAATTTAGATAGCAGGATATGGATAACCTATTTTCAGCAATAATTTATATGCTTTTGGTCCAGCTGGATATGTATGGCAATACCTTGGAAAACTTCCTTATTAGTCCATACTGTTCGAACTTTGGGCCTTTGCTGTCTTCTTAGCTGTATTTTGGTAAATATCTTATCTACTCCTGACTTCATTTCTGTTAATTCATTAACGTGCTGAAGTAAGGCTTTGTTCTCGACACGTAACATTTGAAGTTCAATATATTGTACAGTTTCCATTTTTAATCTTAAAATAAAAATCATATTTTTAATCTACTATACATATTTAATAAAGTTAAGACTATTATGTTTTCATTCAGAACGATTGATCACAGCATATTATTTAGAACATTTTTATATACCCGTCTAATTTTATAGTTTCAGGTAAATTCAGTTTTGAGTTCTTGACACACTGAGTCCACATCTGATTCTCCAGCTGTAGAACTAAAAATAAAATGTTAAGGTACTACTTTTATGTCATAATACTAAAAGTGTTTCTACCAAAAGATGTAGAATTATTAATTATTATTTTAAATAAATTTAAAAGAAACTTTTTTGGAAATGGTTTGTATTAGCAAAAGTGATAATAATTTTAAACAAAAGGTCCAGAAATTCAAAATTTAAGCAAAATTTATAATTATATAATTTCTATTTAATTTATGCATCAGTAAAATATCACATTTTGAATTTTCCATGTATTTGTTACATTTTTTTTCGGGCATCTATCAATGGTGAATAAATCTTCTTCTTCTTTTTGTTACTAAACAAAGAAGAATTTTTATAAACGAAATTTTATTTTTGACAATATGTCTAAAATAAAAATTTTTAAGTTAGTATTTATGACATTTAGGCTGGTTGTAGCTATTCTGTTTTTGTTTATAAAATTCAATTTTTTTTTCTTAAGAAACTTCATCTAAATTTTTCAGAGAACCATTTATTAGAATAAGACATTTTTTTATTAATATTTTTGTATTTAATATGTAAGCAGTAGTTTTATATAAAAAAACTAATTTTATTTGGTGAGTTAACAAAAAATTTTTTTATTTCTAGTTCAACTTTGTAAGACATTTTGTATTTTTTTAGAAGCTCTTGATAAAAATTGTAATCACAATTGAAAGCTCGAGTAAAAAATAGTCAACAAATAGCCCCTTTTATTGACTCCAACCCATCAAAACCAGTGTTTATATTTTTTCCAAATAAGGGGGGTTAAGCCGCAAATGCTTTCTAGATCCTA